GCTTGCACAGGAGAACTTCCTGGCTGATCGTACTCATTCGTATTGTTGAAATGGATCAGAGCAGCATAAGAGGACGGTACAAACATAAACAGCATCGCCAACCCAGATTTACCCCAATTGCATGATTGGCTTGCATTAAAAGAAAAACAACAACCAGAATAACACTGTAAAATGTGCATAGTTAATATGAGTCTTCAGGAAATAGTATCCAGGAAGGTTAAAACATCTCTATGTAAGGTTTTGGTCTTAAAATGGTTAGATTTTTCACAAAATTATGAGCTGGAAATGTTGAGGAAGATGCGTCTTGCTGTGAATTTTTGCTAAAATTATTTCCAGTGAGGTCTTTCTGTAATTTGGGAAACATTTCTTTCCTACTCTGGATTCTCTGATCTGATGCCCGGACACATGAGCAGCTGGACTGTAAGCGAGAAGCTTCACATTATCCTAACACCCAGTGGGATTTGATAAGACTGATCGGGCAATCCTATAAATGTCTACTCAGAAGTATGTCCCATTGACTTCAGTAAGACTCAGTCCTAGGGGAAATTGTAGTAACTTACTTAGGAGCAAGCCCGAGGTGAGCTTGAGCTTGCTGGTCCTTGATTCTGGTAGGATCGCTCCATATCCCAATCTCAACACCAAATATATCAGATTGTACTGAATAAGAAGAAGAGTCCAGGATACATTTTGCAATGCAAGTGGGAAATGACCATTTCATTTCTAAAGGAGAGTATGTGCAAAGGAAATTATCCAAAAATAAACCAGGGCTATTCACATCAGTAGGGACGCGGGTGGCACTGTGGGTAAAACCTCAGCGCCTAGGACTTGCCGATCGCATGGTCGGCGGTTCGAATCCCCGCGGCGGGGTGAGCTCCCACCGTTCGGTCCCAGCTCCTGCCCACCTAGCAGTTAGCAGAAAGCACCCTTAAGTGCAAGTAGATAAATAGGTACTGCTTTATAGCGGGAAGGTAAACGGCGTTTCCGTGTGCTGCGCTGGTGCTGGCTCGCCAGAGCAGCTTCGTCACGCTGGCCACGTGACCCGGAAGTGTCTTCGGACAGCACTGGCCCCCGGCCTCTTAAGCGAAATGGGTGCGCAACCCAGAGTCGGACACGACTGGCCTGTACGGGCAGGGGTACCTTTACCTTTACCTTTATTCACATCAGTGCTAGAAATAGGCTTGGAACTAAGGTGGTGGAACCTTGTCTATTACAGTTTTGTAAAATCAGGTAGGACTGGACATTTGGACCTTGAAGGTGGCCAAGGCCTCTGGGAGTGAAGGTATGAACCCCGATAGCTTGAAGAAACTTAATTCCTATGTCCTGGTTTCTGAAACTACCCCAGCATTTGGGGGCAAGCCTCTTGGAGTGTGTGGTTCTTCTCAGCTCCAGGTAGTCTGTGATGTTGCAGGTGGTTTTTATCCAGTTCAGCTTCATGCCTGGCTTTGGGATGGAAACAGCCTTGGCCACCCTGATGAATGACTAGCCCAGTGGAATGGATTTGGGAGAGTGCCACCCTGCTAATTCCCCTGGACTTCTCAGTGGCTTTTCTTTATCACCAAGCCTAGTATCTCTCCAGAGCAGTTGCCTGGATGAGGCCTGGTTCCAGTTTTTGAGGATTTGAAGTCTCAGAATGTGGTGCTATTGCACTCCAGTTCCTTTCTGTCTCCCTTCTACATGAAACAGCTTGGGAAACTCGACTGGAGGTTTGGGCTGATGTGAGGATGATGTCTGCTTGTCTGCTTGTTACTGAGCTGTGTTCTGATGTTTTTTGTTGTTGTACATATGCATTGAATTTTGGTATTTGTAGATTATTTATTACCGGCTTCTTTCAAATAAAAAACCTGTTGCAGCTGTATTAATTGTACTCTGCCTTGGGACCTCTGCCATTGCTCCATTCGATGAGAGGTGACATAAAAACGTTTTAAGCACATAAGTAAATGAATGAATCAATGAATAAATGTCTTTCTGAACTGGATTTGTTTCTCTTTCTGATCTTTGCTCATTTCCGAGCACAGTTCAAAGTGTTGGCGCTGACCTTTAAAGCCCTAAATGGCCTCAGCCCAGTATACCTGAAGGAGCGTCTCCACCCCCATTGTTCTGCCCGGCACTGAGATCAAGCACTTAGGGCCTTGTGGTGGTTCCCTCCCTGCGAGAAGTGAGGCTACAGGGAACCCGGTAGAGGGCCTTCTTGGTAGTGGCTCCCGCAGAGAGGGGAAGTTCCTGGATTCCTTGGGGTCAACATTTTAACCAAGGCCTTTTCCACACTTCCTTTTGTCTCACTGCTTCCCCAGCCTGGGGAAACTGCTCTTTAGTGCTCAGCCAGAGAAAACAGTGATTTGGGTTTCCCCCAGATTACCATTTCTTCTGATCTATGGCTAGAGTGGGGTTTCCCTTGGAAAGGAACAGGGCAAGGGGAAAACTGCTCAGACCCATGCTTTCTAAGCGCGGTGCAAGCGGAGGTGTAGACAAGCCTTAAGGTGGCAAAGGATTTGGGAATCCTTTTGCCCAAGGGACAGATGACAAAACATTCAACCAAATGTACTAGAAAACCTAAGCAGGCAGGGAATGACTTTGAATTCCCAAATCTACTATTTAACTGTGCAGTTCAACAGCAGGCAATATCAGAATGACTAAAAGAGGAACATAAATTCTGCCAGCTATTATGAAAGCAATAAGCTGTTCTAGCACTTTTAAAGTATTTTTTTTTCTTCTGGGCAACAGTTAAATGAAGGATGGGTAAAAAAATATATATGCAATAATGGGGCGGTTCCATTAGTTCCGAAATAATACTATATATTACTAATACTAATACTAATACTAATACTAATACTAATACTAATACTAATACTAATAATTCAACCAGTTTTATAGAAAGTAATAGCCGGCACGATTGGTCAGAGATTTATCCTCCTGATAGCCTGAGGGATATAGCGAATTCTATCCAATACTTCCCACTGACACAACTGCATAAGCATGCAATGTAAAGAGACTTGTAGGCCCATAAAGAATTTGCATAGCTGGAGAATTCACCTTGTTAAGGACCTTTCCCGCCAGAGCTCAAAGCTGCTTCTAGCATTGTCTTGGCTCCTGCAGGTATTTTTGGCGCACCAGTCTTGCCTCATGTAGCTTTATGAGTTGGCTCTTCCCTTAGGCAGGAGAAAGTGGTTTGGCTCAGGCGGTGGTGCAGCAGTCTAAACCACAGAGCCTAGGACTTGCCGATCAGAAGGTCGGGGGTTTGAATCCCCGCGACGGGGTGAGCTCCCGTTGCTCGGTCCCTGCTCCTGCCAACCTAGCAGTTTGAAAGCATGTGAAGTGCAAGTAGATAAATAGGTAACGCTCTGGTGGGAGTGTAAACGGTGTTTCCGTGCGCTGCTATGGTTCGCCAGAAGCGGCTTAGTCATGCTGGCCACATGACCCGGAAGCTGTGCGCCGGCTCCCTCGGCCAGTAAAGCGAGATGAGCGCTGTAACCCCAGAGTCGTCCACGACTGGACCTAACGGTCAGGGGTCCCTTTACCTTTAAGGAGTGATACATTATCAATTTATTATATATACTGTATATATTTATCAATGCAGGGATTTCCTGCCATTTGGATTTTATGCCCAGGCACCAACATTCCTGCTTTTGGGCTGCAGCAGAGCTCATGGGACTCTGAGATCCCAACGATAATTTGTTGGCGAAGCAACAGCATGCGACCTAAGGGAGTGTTTCCTGTGCTCCTTGCGTGCTCCTGGCATGAGCTCACGTGTATGCAAAAGCCATCATGAGTCACAGATTCCCATATTAAAATGTTTGTTTTCAAGGTTAAATTTATACCGGGTGTACCACTATAAGCAGTTAAAATAACACTGTGGCCTTAAAATGTTTTTAATAGAATTAACCTCCATTTAGCTAACGTACCTGAAGCGTTTTAAGAAGAAAATGCATATTTAAACCCCACGCCGAGGGGTCAGCTATGTACCAAGCCGGTTGAGTTTGCCCATGCCTTCCTCTCTGATTGCCCTGTTATTATTTTGCTAGTTCTCCCTTATCTCCCCTCTCTTATATTTCAACACATCCCTGTCTATGACCCTCCAGTGCCACCACCCTGAAGCAGAGGCGCCAGGTTGCCCCCAAAATTGAGGGGTCCCAGCGTGTGGTTGATTCAGAGTGGGCCCCTCCCTCTCCCCTGTGATGACCTTTGATTCCCTCCCTTGTTCTCTATGTAGATCTTTATCCAGTGCCGGATTTACATATAAGCTAAACAAGCTATAGCTTAGGGCCCCACTCTCTTGGGGCCCCCAAAAAAATTAAAGGAAAGAAACCTGGATGTACATTTCCAAAATATAAGATAAAAAACAAAATAAAACCTACATACAGCAACAGTGTTTTGTGTTGTGTAGGCTCCTATAATGTAAGTAATGCTCATTTTTATATACAGTGGTACCTCTACTTATGTACTTATGTACGTATCCTACGGGATACATACGTGGCAAACCTGGAAGTATTTTTCTGGGTTTCGTCATGTGCGCATGCGCAGAAGCGGTCTACCACCGTGCGCGCATGCACAGAAACTGTCCCTCCGGTTGCAGAAAACCTCAGGATCCGACTGGAGCTCCGGAACAGATCCCGTCCACAAATGGGATGCATAGGGTGCCTACATTCTGCATGGACTGGTTGCACGGCAACATGTGCAAATGGCTTTAGATACCTATTTGGTCCATAAATTACCATATAGCATATATTCAACAGAAAAAACAGCGACAATTCGTTGTTGACAAGGACAGCTGGACATATAAAGGGCTCCATTACCTTCAGTAGCTTAGGGCCTCATCAAACCTATATCCGTCCCTGTCTTTATCCCACTCCCTTGCTCCTAATGTAGGTCTTCAGTTGCCCCTTCTTCCCTGGCAGGATGTGTGCGCTATTTTGTGGTTCGCCTCAGGTGCCTAAGTGTCTTGGGCTGGCCCTGATTCAGGTTCCCCCAATGTATCCAGAGTTTCTACTCTCTAAAATATAACAGGGACATGGGTGGCGCTGTGGGTTAAACCACAGAGCCTAGGGCTTGCTGATCAGAAAGTCGGCAGTTCAAACCCCCGCGACGGGGTGAGCTCCCATTGCTTGGTCCCTGCTCCTGCCCACATAGCAGTTCGAAAGCATGTCAAAGTTCAAGTAGATAAATAGATACCACTCCGGCGGGAAGGCAAACGGCATTTCCGTGTGCTGCTCTGGTTCGCCAGAAGCGGCTTAGTCATGCTGGCCACATGACCCGGAAGCTGTACACCGGCTCCCTCGGCCAATAAAGCGAGATGAGTGCCACAACCCCAGAGTCGGCCACGACTGGACCTAATGGTCAGGGGCTCCTTTACCTTTAAAATATAACAAGCTGGAAAATGGAGGCTCTCTCCCTGCCACTGAGAGGTCACGCCATTGGAAAGATGTCTTGCCCTTCTAGGACAGGAAATTCATCTTGTGCTCCTCAAATGAGGCAGTCAGATTAGGCTTTATTAAACCTCCTGGGCCTTTTAGGACAAGGATTCAAAATTCTCCTGTTTCCCTTTTGTCCATTCCGCATGTGATTCTCACTTATCCAAGTGACCCCAGGGTGTGTGTATTTTCTATTGGCTGGAGCCGAATCACAATTTCCTCTTTCGAGCGTCCAGTGCAACTGATATTTATAGACTTTTTCCTTTCCTCTTCCTGCTGAGCAGCCTCCCAGCTCAGTACTTTGAAGTGTCATCTATGTTTACCCACTTTTTATTGCATGTTATGGCTAACCCCTGCTGCTGCTCCTTTTTTTAAACCTGAGCCAAAACCAGTTTCTGGAGGCTGCAGTTAGAATTGTTATGAGTATATACTGCCTGGCAGATTTCAGACAACCCACTTTGCACCTGTTCGCCCAGTCAGGCTGAAAGCACCTGAAATTTAATGTCACCGCCCTGTGTTAAATGTATATGGTGATTTTTTTAATTTGGGCTGTACCTCCAAGGAAAAATGACTCCTTTGTGTAAGTGATGAACTATTTTATGTTTCAAGCACAAATTAGGGAGGCTTGCATTAATACATGAAGTACCGTATTTTTCACTCTATAAGACGCACCAGACCATAAGACGCACCTAGTTTTTGGAGGAGGAAAACAAGAAAAAAAATATTCTGAATCTCAGAAGCCAGAACAGCAAGAGGGATAGCTGCGCAGCGAAAGCAGCGATCCCTCTTGCTGTTCTGGCTTCTGGGATAGCTGCGCAGCCTGCATTCACTCCATAAGACGCACACACATCCCCCCTTACTTTTTAGGAGGGAAAAAGTGAGTCATATAGAGCAAAACATACGGTAAATGAACTCCCTCTCTATCTTGGCTTTTTCTTCTCCAAACCAAGATCTGCAAGCCTCTTGACAAATGCTTTTAAGATTGCACATGGCTACTATATATATTTCAATGCTGGTGATCATAGAATCATAGAATTGTTGAGTTGGAAGGGACCACAAGGATAATCTAATCCAACTACCTGCAAAGCAGGAATCTTTCGTCCAACGTGGAACTTGAACCCACGACCTCGAGGTTAAGAGTCTCATGCTCTGCCAACTGAGCTATGTCTCAGGGGTAGTCTCTCTAGTGATTTCATTGTGGTTTCATTGTCCTATTTATACTGCCCTGGGGCCTTTGGGTAGGGCTGCCATACGTCTGGAATTTTTTGCACATATATGTGATCTGTCCGTCAGAAATAGCGTCCATGCGTAATTTCCGAAAATCGGCAAAACTGTCCAGGGAAACACGGGCATCTGGATATGGTGAATTTCCTAATAAATAGCTCAAAAACTTTGTTTCTTTGTTGCAAAAGAAGCTCAACAACCCTAGCAAAAAGAAAAAAGGAACGGTCACTTCTTGAAATATGGCAACCCTACCTTTGGGCGACCCCTTCATGGATCACTGCCTTGCTGTGGCAAAGGGGCTTGAATAACTCAGAGAAGCTATGAACTATGCCAAGCAGGGCACCCAAGATGAACAGGTCATAGTGGAGAGTTTTGACCAAACGTGATCCACCTGGAGCAGGAACCAGCAAGCCACTCCAGTATCCCTGCCAAGAAAACTCCATGGAGAAAGACAACAGGCATATAAAAGATATGACGCTGGAAGATGAGCCCTTCAGGTCGGAAGGCGTCCAACATGCTACTGAGGAAGAGCGGAGGACAATTACAAGTAGATTCAGAGCTGATGAAGCGGCTGGGCCAAAGCCGAAAGGACGCTCAGTTGCGGATATGCCTGGAAGCGAAAGGAAAGTCCAATGCTGTAAGGAAAAATATGGAGGGCACAAGGAGAAGGGGACGACAGAGGATGAGAAGGGGACGACAGAGGATGAGATTTTGGACAGTGTTCTTGAAGCTACCAGCCTGAGTTTGACCAAGCTGCGGGAGGCAGTGGAAGACAGGAGTGCCTGGCGTGCTCTGGTCCAGGGGGTCACGAAGAGTCGGACATGACTAAACAACAACAACAAACCTTTGGGCAAAGGGGAGGCAATATATCTCATAAATAAATAGCTGGTTGCGTGGAAGCCGATGAGCTCAACCGTAGGAGGAGCCAGTGCAAAGGACTGGTGGATCCAGCTAATTCTATTTTTGCCCCCATCCTCCTCCCTGCTAAGTTTTGCAAGGGCAAAACTGAGACTGAAGAGGAGGAAGCAGATTGCCAGGGCAGCTTTTTGGACTGGTTGTCAGAAAGGAGGCAGGTGGGTTTGGAGGTTGTTGGGACAGTGCCCCACTTGCTCTAAATGGGCTGGCCTCCACTGATAGTTCACGCTGGACTTCCCTATGTGTCCCAGGAGACTGTTGTCTTTTCGGTGCCACGTCAAGCCTTTTGATTTGCTCAGGTGTTTTGATACCGCTTATTTTATTGGCAGAGATTTTAAGTGGGTTTAACATCGGTGTTGTCACGAATTGCTCTGCTGTTTCATTGTTTTCATGAGATGTTTGCGACGTTAGTTTCAGACCGCTGTGGAAATCCTTTAACCCTGAGAGTTAGAGAGGAAGGTACAAATGTTTGCCCCCCCAAAAGATTTGGGAAGGTCTTGGGGACCCCCCCACTGCTAAATGAGTAGTAGCTGTGCCTGTTCTGTCTGGATTTATGGATCTCTCTACAGTGCTGAGTGGAGGGCCCCCATAATAACAATAACAATAACAATAACAATAATAATAATTTTGAGAAGATTCATAAAAAAGCAACTGTAACACAAGGAATTATTGTGAAAATAATAGGGTGTTTTTTTTTTTGGTAGGGGGGCAATTTTGTCCTTGCTCAGGACACCATATTATTGGAGTCCATACCTGCTATTTGGATCCATGGGGTGTCCCCCCCCAAAACAGACCTCACTGCTGGGTCCAGCTGCCACTCCCATCAGTTTTGCACAAGCCTATTAATAATCACTGTTCAGCTTTATTTTATTTTCTTTTTTTTGGGGGGGGGGCAGCAGTGGCATCTAAATTGTGTGGCTCCGCTTCCGTATCCTTATGCAGCTGCTGTTCCTTCCAATGGGGCTTGGGCAGGAGAAAATAAGTGGTCCCTGCTAGATGCTTTCTTCCTTGATAAAATAATAAAAACAAGTCCTCACAATGCGCTCATGGGGTTATTTAACTCTTGCAGTTCCACTTGGGTCAACATCAAAGCCTAAAAACTGAGTCTGGCCAGGTGCTGTTGATCAGATAAAGGACCTTGGTTTCCACTGCAAAGGGTTTGGGTGGTCACCTTGCTCTGCACATGCCCCACATGGCTTTCTGGGTAAAAGAGCAAAGGAAGGTGTTTTCTGAGCACTGCTGTAGGACTTCCACCATCTCTTTTTCCTGTCAGGGCAAGGAAGGCACCATGCAGAGAGAGAGGGAGGGAGGGAGGGAGGGAGGGAGAGAACGAAGCATGAGGCAGAGATCTGTTGCACAGGCAGGAAACTTGCTGCTTGCTGCTAAGAGTCATATCCTCCAAGAACTCCACATTCCCAAGTGTCAGGAATAGGGGATACTTTGGGAGAAGCCCTTTGAGGTTCAGAGCCGGAGTCTCGGTGGGAAGAAATGTGCTCGAAAGTGGCAGGAACTCCTCTGCTGCAGGCTTCAAAGAGGAAATCACTTCTGATCGCCAGAGTCTGAAGCTGGTAATTTAATAGGGAAACTCCGCATCTCCTATTGGGTTGGCGTTACTTCCCTGGGTATTGA